TTGGCAAAATAATTGCAATTTATAGCCGCATTTTCACAGTATTTTCCTTCTGAACAAATTATAATCACATACACACTTCCACAATGACATAGGGCTATTTTTTTCTATTAAAAAAAAGTTTCCAAAGAAAATGATTAATTGCAGGTAATGCGATAATCAATCTTTTAAAACTCTGGTGCATCCCTATATTTAGAATAACATTTGTCCATGGGCAATAGAAAAGATCATCTGAACAAGTTAACACTGGGCTCTCCTCTGTATCACTGGATAGCTGGGGCATTTTATGTAGAAAATAAGGCACTTTCTTTCTTTTCAAAGATGCACACTATGACCTTTAAAGCTGAGCGAAGTGCTTGCGTGGAAGCTGAATCAGCTGCCTTTACTCTAGCAATCATTCCTGTTTCCTGGGGAAGCGGCTTAAAATCATTCTGAACGGCTCAGGAATGTTTCTCTCCCGCATCATGAAATCCCCATTTCAGGATCTTTCATTACTATAGCTACTGCTGGAGTGCACCACCCGCAAGGGTGGCAATGCGACCGTTCGGAAATAACATCGTCCCTGGGCAGGGTCTCAAGTAGCCAGCAGATTGTCCTTGACATCTTTGAACGTAACACAAATATTTCCACCTTGGGGGTTCTCACGGGACACCCGGATTACACCCTGGATTACACCAAAACCCTAGGGAAGAACCCTATACTTGTGGGAATGGTTTCTGCCAGACCTACGGCATACTAGGACTGGAAGGCTCACATACTGCAGAGGGTGGTAGAGATAAGGATGGCTGAAAAGAAGGGGCAGGCATGGCAGAGGCGGACTGCTACTTTGTGGCAGAGTAGAAAGCGGCAAAAAAAAGCAACTCCAGAGACTTCCTGTGGAGCCGCTTCATGCTGCTCCAACCAAACCACAGGGAAATGGGTGGCAGCGCCTGCTCATGGCAGCTGGTAGTCCTCGCTCTGCTGCTCCTTGGTGGGGCAAAGTGGAGCGGGGTGAGGCTGGGTGGGCTAGCCCGGATGGGGTGGGTGGGCTAGCCCGGGTGGGGTGGGTGGGCAAAGCAGAAGGGGTCAGCCCCTCGCCGTTTTCAGAACGGCCCCACAGGCCAGATCTAACCACATCACAGGCCAGATCTGGCCCACGGCCCTTGAGTTTTGTTCTGACCTAGACGTTCCCAAACCATGAAGTAGACTCCTTAAAAATTCCCTTTTTATTAAGTTACTGTGAATTTCTCTCATTCACACTCAGCAAAGTCTTTCAAGGGTGAATTTACAGTCACAGACCTTATCTGGCTTGGAGAGCTGCCAGGCCGATATCTTCAAAACTTGGCAAGGAGTCTCGGAGAGTCACAAACCAATTAGGCAAACTAATTGTCTCCTGCAAACTCCACTCCCCTTTCGCTCCTCTTTTATTCCCTCTGGGAAGGGCCATTCATCATCCACCTGTGGCCTTACTCCCAAGACAATCCTTGTTCCTTAGCTGTTCCCTTCATCTGGCAACTCTGTGCATGCGCACACTGGGAACAGACTCCATCTGTTCATCTGCCTCACTGATGTCTGACTCTGAAGGCAGCTGATAACTGGCATCCGGCCCTGGCTCCCTCTCTGCCTCCAACGCAGAGCCCTCATCAGAGCCTTCCCCAGATTCCAGGACTGGCCCATGTTCCTCCCCAACCTCCTCACTGTCCAAATCCACTGCCAGCTCCACTGGCCGCTGGCAGGCCACAAGAAGCTTGAAATGTTTGCCCTATGCTATTTCAGACAAGTGGCTGTCCAGTCTCTTCTTAAAAGCCTCCAGTAATGAAGCACCCACAACGTCTGAAGGCAAGACGTTCCACTGGTTGATTGTTCTCACTTTTAGGAAATTGCTCTTTAGTTCTAGATTGCTTCTCTCCTTGATTAGTTTCCATTGTTTATTGCCTTGCCTTCTGGTGCTTTGGAAAATAAGGTTGATTCCCTCCTTTGTGGCAGCACCTTAGATATTGGAACACTGCTCATGTCACCCCTAGTCCTTCTTTTCTCTAGACTAGCGATACCCAATTCCTAAACCATTCATGTTTTAGTCTCCAGGCCCCTAATCACCTTTGTTGCTTTTGTTGCTCTTCTCTTAACTCTTTTCAAAGCCTCAACATCTTTTTTATAATGTGATGACCAAAACTGGATGCATTATTCCAGATCTGGTCTTATTAAGGTTTTATAAAGCAATACTAATGCTTCTCGTGATCGTGACTCGATCTCACTCTTTATGCAACCAAGGATTACATTAGCTTTTTTGGCTGTTACAGCACACTGCTGGCTCAGCAGTTAAGTCATTGTCCACTAGGACTCCAAGATCTGTACTTGTACCATGCTTCCCCAAAAATAAGACAGGGTCTTATTTTCTTTTGAACCCCCAAATAAGGGCTTGGCCTTATTATCGGGGGGGGGGGGGTTATTATTTCAGGGGTGCAGGAGGCCCCGGGCGGCCTGCGCACTCACATCTGGGAGTCTGGCAGAGAGAAGCTCCCTTCGCACATCAAGCCCCTCCCCTCCCACGGGGTGTGTGTAGAACGCAAGCGGTCTGAAGGCACCAAGCCACACAAGTGTCTGTCCCCACCACCTGTTCACGCGCTTCCCTGGACTCACCAGGTCGATGTGAGCGAAGTCAGTGAGCACCAGGTCCTTGAGGAGCTCGTAGCCAATGCTGCTGACACCCACCAGCACCCGCACAGAAGCCATGGCCTGGGCCAGCTTTCCCTGCAGGGTCCAGCTCCAGCCGTCACCAGAGTGGGAAACACACTCCCAGAGCAGCTGCTGCCCTGGCTGGGCTTGGAAGCCGCAGAGGCAGAGTTTGGGGGAGAGAAAGACTTCTGCTGCTTCTGCTGCTTTCCTTGCATGCAGCCAAAAACAGAAGCAGCACAAGTCTTTCTTTTTCTCCCCCAAACTCTGCCTCTGCGGCTTCCACATCCCAGTCAGGGCAGAGGCCACTCTGGGAGTGTGCTTACCACTCTATGGCGATGGGGGAGCCTCGCAAGACCCTTGCCTGCCCTCCCTTCCTCCCGCAGGTCCCGTTTACTTTTTCCAGGTGCCCGGCGAGATGCTGGGTAGCCACACCAAGCGGAGCCGCGACAGACAGCTCGGCCGGCCCAGCCACAGCCAATGTTCCTCACCCGCGGCTGAGCTTGGCTGGAGGGGGCCACTGGGCCTCTGCAGGCAGCGGCAGCAGCAGCAACACCTGCAGCACCTTAGCCATCCCAGCTGAGACCTGTGCCCAGTTGCGTGACGCGCCATGCCTGCCGTTGTAGTACTCTGAGACTGCCCGCCATGCATGGAGGCCTCTCTGCCACCGATGGCTGCCATGCCAAGCCCTGGGGTGGTGATGCTTGCGCTGGGGCTGCTGTGGCGGGTGCTCAGTAGTGCGGGCTATGCAGACGTGGCACCTGGGCACGAGAGTGGGCGGGCCACCATGGCACAGGAGCAGGAACAGGTGCTCGAGGTCTATGGTCAGTGCCGAGGGTGGCAGAAGGGGCGGGGGGCGCAGGAGTTTGCAGGAATATGGCTGCCTTGGGAGGGTTGGGGGAGTGAGGGACCTGTGTGTGCATGTGTGAGAGAGGGGGGCTTATTTTCAGGCATATATTTAGGCCCACCCCAAAAATCAGGCTTGGCCTTATTTTCGGGACATGTCCTATTTTGGGGAAAACACAGTATAATTGTTTTTTCTTGCCTAAGTGAAAAATCTTATTTTTCTCTACATTACATTTCATTTTGTTGGATAGGGCCCAGTGTTCGAGTCTGTCAAGATACATTTGGATCCTGAGCCTATCTTCTGGAGTGCTGGCTACTCCTGCCAGCTAATTGTCACCTGAAAATTGGATGAGTTCCCCTCATCTAAATCAGTCTATTGCTTTGAATGTAATTGCCATACCAATCTGACCAGCTGTGTTTTATGCTGCCAGCAGTACTGGGCACAATATATAAATACAAATACTGTAAGTACTCTCATTCCTGTAGTAAACAATCTTGTGACAAAATTTAAATGGCTAATCAATCAAGATCTTGATTTTGTTTAAGTTTGCATATACATTTTGACAACGCCACCAAATAACTGTAGCCATCAGTAGGTAAACCATAGGAAAAAAGATAAGAAATTGTAATCCAAAGAAAATAAAACATAAAAGAAAATATAGCCAAATGTAGTCTACAACAGTCACTATACTACTCTATACCTTTCCGTCATTGCAATAACACACCTATAACAAACCTCCATCCATTGCCTTTTGTTCTTTAAGCTTCTCACTCCTACCTTTATGAGGATCTCATCAAGATCATCCAGTTACAATTTTCTTGATTTACTCTTTCATCTTCCATTTCATATATTTTAGAGTTTGATCTGCATTCCTTCCTTCTTTATAACCAAATGTCAATGTACTTATTTTGTAGTGGTCACTCAGGTTTACCCCGTTCATTCTTAACCCCCTCGTTTTACTACACCCAAATACTTAAGGCTCTTGTTCCCATGGCATTCAACTTAGTGTGTTCTCCTGACATGGCTTTCACTTTTCTGTAACAAACTGGGCAAAAGCACTCTCTGATCCAGTGATTGCTTCTTTTTATAAACATTCATTTATTGCAGCAAACCCCATACTACCTACTGCCTTTCTACTATCACTGCAGGTCTTAAAATTTCCACATTTACCCATCTTTAGTCAAACATTTTATGAAGTATACAGCTGTTCTAGTTTTTTTAGCCATTTATATATGACCATTTATATATAACTAACAATCATTGATTCCATTTTCCCTTTCAGACATAACTCTATTGGTGCTTGGTACATTAATTTTCAGATTCATATTCCTTGCTGTATCAGATGTATATTTCATATTTGCATTATTCAGGTTGCCAGGCAAAAATGCAGCATTATCTACACAAAACAGTATTATACATTTATGTCTTCATCTAAAACACATCAAATGTTAGCACGATTATTCCTTAGGCATTCTCTGTAAATGCATAAATAACCAACCGGGTATTTTCATAACTTTGTCAAAATACTTTACTTCAGTCACTGGCCAGTATTATATATGGTACATATGGTAACATAAAACATAGGAATAAAAGATAAATGAAACAAAATGGAGTAAAAGAAAAACACAACCAGAATAGGTGACACTTTGTCAATTCATTGTGAACACTGAGACTCTTAAACTACTTCGGAAAAGAACATCATACAAGAAACAGATAAACAGGAAAGTGACACTTATTCCAGCTCCAAACAGCTCGCTGCATACTTTCTCAGCCAAGTTGACTATTAGTGTCAAATTATGCTTTCATATTCAGTACTTCTGTTTGTGACTTGTGACTGTTTCAGTGAACTGGAGAGCATTTAATTGTCCAGAGTAGAGAAAAAACTAAATACAGACACTTACAGCAATGCTTCAAGCTTTGGTTTATTCTTAAATTAAGTATCTATATTTCATACTCTGCAGTCTTAATAAACAATTTATTCTTGGATATGGACTCCTTTCACTGTTGCACTCTAACATAAGTAGGCTTCCATGAGAAAAAACACAATTGAACAAATGAAGTAGATTATAAGGTTTTTTTGAGTGCACTTCATATTAGCTGCTCATACATTTGGAATGCATTTAAATACTCTTGAGAAAAATGAAATAATAATAATAATAATAAAAAATTAACTTCAATAGTCTTCACAGCTTTTTTCATTCAATGTTTTAAAATGCCTGTACAGATATTTATAAAAATAATTTCAATATGGCACAAAGGTGAAATCCTCAAGAAAAAAAAAAAAACTCTTCCAGAAGTTTTGAGTGCCTTACACAAAATGAGCTTCCCTGTGTTCCAGTTCTTGCATCCGCTTTGGCCTTAATCTCTGATAAGTGGGCTTCAAATCTGCAGGGGGCATGGTTTCAAAGCTAGATTTTTGTTGCCTTCCATCTTGGATAGAGGAATCCAAAAAGCTGTGATCAAGGCCAGGATTCACACCTAGTCCTGACATGTCATTATGGATTATTGCTGCACAGCATTTGGATGCAGAACTCTCATCATTTGGTTTGGCATTATTGTTGGATGATGGTTTATAAAATGTTCCTCCTGGTGGTTGAAAACATCTTGGCTTTTTCAAAGTAACAAAAGGAGTAGAGGCTGTGCAATGCGTTTCTCCTACAGGCTTTACAGTTGTGAACGGTCCTGTATATGGCTTACAAAGAAGTATGGCATTCACTGAATTGTTAACAAGGTTGCCAGATGCATTTAAGGCACATGTATTTACAGATTCTTGTGTTAAGTTTTCATGGATATTGGTCATAATCTTTGCTGTTTTTGATGTCATGTCATACTGTTTATATTGCTTGTCCCAAGTCTTTTTCTGAGTTTGTGGGTCATAACAAGAGATTCTAGAGCCAGCAGTAGTAGAGGGAAGTGACTGTGTCTCAGAAATGTCTTCAATAACAAGACTTTTCCCAAGCTTGTCTGGGTTCAGACTTGCATTCTGGAAATTTTGTTCATTTAAAATACAAGAAGGAAGCATTGATCCTAAAGGTAAACTCACAGGACGAAAAAATGGCTTGGACTTTTGACAGCGCAACTGAACTTTGGTTATTTGACGTCTAGGTCTTATTAACTGATCACTTTTAACACCATCCTCAGTTTCAAGGTCATGCTTCCCATTGTCTTGATCTGAAACTGGAGTCGCTTTATTGTCTAGGAAGAAAAGAAATGTTTCGAGTGTCATCAAAAAGTATTAATCTTGAATATTAACTAGAAAAGATATATACATTTCAGAAAATCATATTTCTTGTTTATGTGCCTTCTTACACTTTGTTTTATAACAATTATACCTGAAAGACAGATCAGCCAACTCCAGAATTCCATTATATTTCTTGTATTTATTATGATTCATGTTCCACAACTTAATTTAAGAAGGAAGGAACTTTCCTACAACTGTTTTGTAAGAAGCTACCCACAATGGAATTTCATCCCTCCAGTTTGTTTTTGTTAGTAGAATGAACACAAACATTTTATATTTGTTTTTTAACTTAAGCTTCTCCAACTCTGCATTCTTCAGATGGAATCACTTGTTGGGAATTTCAAGTGGTTGAATTCCTAACATATCTGGACAGACAGCTCTCCTTAGTTGAAAGTCAGGCTAATTGCAGAATTAACATGGTAAAACAATTCAAACGAAAGATTCTTACAATTAGACCCTATCTACATAAAAATGTTCTCATAATTCAAATTTAGCAATATATTGGTTGGAAACAGCGTACAATAACCTACCATAAATATTAGAGAACTATAATATTTAAGTACTTTTACCTATTTCATCATTATGAAAAACTGAATATGATAATGAAGCTGGCAAAAAAACAATTGTAAAAGGACAAACAAGAGATAGCATTTACAGACTTAGGAAACTCTCAAACTCTGCCAGATATCATGTTTAAGCACTATCTAGCAGACTGTAAGCCTGCATAAATTGTGCTATTTGCACAGCCAATCCCTATTCTGCTAGAGCAGAAGTCTTCAAACTTGGCAGCTTTAAAACTTGTGGACTTCAACTCCCAGAATTCTCCAGCCAGCTATGCGACACAAATGGGAAAAAAGTTATTTTAAAAGCTATTAGTAAAGTACATATTTGTGTGGTTTTAAGTTGTAGATCTGTCAAAAAACTGTAGTTACAGTATGCAAAAAAATAAGCTATAGATGTACCACTTGAGAATTAATTATAATGGACTTTTACCCTGAAATATTATTTAAGTCTTAACTCAAGTTTCAAGTGACCTTTTAATCTTTAAAGATTTCCAACTACATTAACACCCTAAAAGTTGACATTTTTTCATCTATACTGGCACCAATTTAATTTAAATAAACAATTGCTTTGGCTTTTAAACATAGAATAATTCAACAGTAACAGGAATAATAACTGTATAAATATTCCACAGTTAATAAAACTAACCTGATTCTTTTATAGGAACCGTGTCATTTTCCAAAGCCATCACAGGAGTAGATTCTGAAGGAGAATTTTGCTTGCCAAGACTGAGTTTTCTCTCAAGAGTACAGGTTGATTCTAAGAAAAAAACCAACAATGCAAGCATTTACTGTATATTTGCACACCAAAATCTAATATAATGTGGAAGTCCACTATGGAGATTGTTAGGATCTGAATAGTAGAAAACAGGTTCAAACAGTAAGATTGAGCTACAGATGTACACTGAGGTACCCCCTGTGTTGTCTCTGGAAGGAGTTGTATTGCCCCTGAAGGAAGAGGTCCACAAATGGGTTCCTCTTGGATTTGCAGTTGCAATTGCATCAACAGGTAGACTATGGCCAGGGATGCATTTGCCCAGTTTTGGCTGGTGTGCCACTGGTGGCCTTACTTCAGATGAGATGACCTGATTACAGTGTCTCATGCCCTCATCACTACTCAACTAAACTAATCTCTAACCCTAACTGATTGATTTCAGGTAGCAAATTTAGTCTAGTGGTTAAGGCATTAGACTAGAAATCAAGAGATTGTGAGTTCTAATTCCACCTTAAGAATCAAAAGACACCTGGGTGCCTTTGAGCCAGTCTCTCTCTGTCTCAGCCCAACTCACCTCATAGGGTTGTTGTTGTTGAGAAAATAGAAGGGGAAGGAATGTTAGGTATGTTTGCCATCCTGAGTTTTTAAAACCAATAATAAAGGTTTAAAAGTAAATTATGTAGTGTTTTTATTGTTATATTGTCTTTTGTTAACTATTGAGAATCAATTTATGATTACAAGTGGGATATAAATTTGATAAATAAATAAGATTATTTCAAGCTTAAAATATTTTAATACTGTTTTTTTTTTCATTTTCACAGCGATCATCAATATTTATCCCCAGAAATTAAGAGACAGTTCTGACTCACTGGTGTATTTGTCAGTAAAATGAAGACCAGATTGTTGGGAGCAATATGCTGACTCTGTAAACTATTTAGACAGGGCTATAAAGCATTATGAAGCAGTATACAAGTTTAAATGCTATTGCTATCTATTGTAACATACACTTACCTTTTACTAAAGAATCAGATTGGAAGGGGGATCGTTTGCTACCATCTGGTTCTTCAAAAGATATGCTTCTTTTAGTAGAATTCTTCCTCTTGACACTCTGTCAATAATAACAATAAGAGTAGAATATTTTTTCCTAAATGAAATACTACAAATATAATGGAATATTATATTGTTCCTCAACAGAAACTCACTTCCTTCATAGCCACAAAGAATCCTCCTTTCCTATCTTGAGATGCTTGTTTATCTTCTACTGATAAAATACTTTTAGTACAAAAAGAATTTTCATCAGATTCAGTTGCAGCTGATGAATGTTCTTGGGCAGTGTCGAAGATCTTTTCATAGTGAGTGATAAGAAGTTCTATCATTCGGGCTTGATATGGATAATCCACAAGTGAAGATAGTGAGAGTGTGGCATCTGTCTCACGTGGTCTGATCAAAGTTGGACCAAATATAATGCCAAGATTGCGGGCAGACATTTTATTTTCATCAGATTGTTCACTAACTCTGCGTAAAAGAACAGAAAATGCATAAAAGTTTTGAATGTACCAACAAATATTTGTACAGATAAATATATATTTTAATTGCCAACTAACATTAATCAAAACTTAATGTCTAGATATCTGAGAGTCAACCTATCTCCAATTGTTTCTGGCTTCCCAATATGTTCCAGGAGAAAAGTGTCTCTGCTACCACCATTCCTACATTTTGGGTAAAACAGCCTCTCTTCCCCCTCCCCCCCAAAAAACCCAGACAGTGCCTTCTCTCCTGGAGTTCTGAAAATACCTCAATACCTAACTTTGACCTCAGGTAAGGGGTTGTGACTGTCTGTTGTTATGATAGTTTTTTTAGTCCAAGCTTTGTTGGTTATGTTTTTTAAAAATGTTTTTATTGTTTTGGATTTTAAAAGTCACTCTGGGCCTTACAGGTTACCATTATGTAGTTATAACAATTTTAAACAATTAAAAAAATGTATTGAACTTTATAACTGATCTTAATAAAGTTAAGTATAACAAGTCACTAAATAGAAAGGGATATTATTTTTATTACTACATATAATTCTAGAAAAATATATAGAAAAATCTAATACTGGTTGACTCGGAATGCTCTTACCTGCATAGATGAGCTAAAAGAAACTTCAGAGTGTTATGGTTCGCTGTAGGTAGCAATCTCAGTAGATCTTTAATTTTAAGTATGATTCTATTCAATTCAATGCAAACTGATTGCTGTTTGTTTGATTTTGATCTCATCTGTTTCATATCAAGTTCCACATTAATATTCTGGCTTTCTTTTGCAAGTCCAATGAATTCATTGTAAAATCGAGACAAAATCAAAGGTTCAGGGAGCTGTGGGAAAGAATACCAGAAATCCATGTGAAATTTTATCTTAACTTTATGTCCTTCTTTTCATTGTCCTTTTCTGGGAAGTTTCTGAATTTTTTTCTGCATAGCTAGCATATTGTAAGAAATTCATGTAGCACTGTTGATAGATTCCATTTCTTATAGCTTGGATTTTAATAACACTTCTATGTGTGTTTTTAAGTTTTGCTTTGTTTAAATGACCAATTTTGTTTATTTATAAAAAGTTTCTAAAAATAAAAACTGATCAAGATAGTTATTAATCTGCTTTATTACAGAACAAGAGAACAATTACAATATTTTGAATAGAAGGACTAGATATTTGTGAGTGGATTCATGCATTACATTAAAGTCTATAACCTAAACTGTGTTTTGACAAACAAAAATCTCTGTTTCCCAGAAGAAAAGCAAGTACTATACAGGTGAACTCAGCTACCATAGGTGTCAATCTGAGTAAGAGGAAATGGCAAATGAGAGCCTGCAATTCAAGTGCTAAAAAGACTGTTAATTTAAGGAAGGGGTATGGAGTATCAAATATGAATACCAATGAATTCCCCATTCAGACTTGTAGCTTATGTTTGTATAATACATTTGAACCTATCAGATGTTTATTAAAGTAAACATGTATCATAGCGCACAATGACTTAATATTTCCCAGTTTTCATTAAAAAGAAGCTTTGCAACTGTTACGTTAAATACTGATGCTAGTAAGCAATCAGATACTACTGCAAGCTGTATTAGACTTTAGGGAATACTAGTAAGGGATTGTGGAAGTCCAGGATAAGTGAACAATAATGTAGGTAATCACTATTCACAAGATTCACATCTTTTTTTCTTCCTCACAATATAACCAATTCTCTTGACTCATAAACCACAAAGAGTAATTTCTACTGTTTTGGTGCAAGTGAGGCATTTATTTTAAACGTATTAACAACTTCACCACAAAGAACAGCAAAAAATAATAAGAGGTATAATATTGGAACATAAATGAAGCAGCTAAAAGATAAAGAGAAGAGATGGCATAACAGAATATTGAACCACAACAGAGGAGAATCAGGTTAGTCACTGTAGGAATACACATGGAAATTACATACTTATGTTTCATTAGAATGTAATGAAGCATTCAGATACTCAGTAATTTAAAAATGGACTTATTAATTTTAGTATTATACTCACATTTATAGAGTTGCTGTATTAATAAAAATGGCAATTCTTTTTTAAGAGTACACTGTCAGCATTAGCCTAGGCCCTAGTTCTGTATTCTCACAGGGTAGGTTTCACTTTTTTGAGCCATTTATTTAAAGCATGATTAGAGATTCTTTTTCGTATATCAGAAGCCAAGTGGATATAGTAAAAGCAAGATGTGTTTGGGTTTTTGTTATTGTTCAAAAATTTATTCCCATTCATTTTTTAAATCTTCCCCATTTTTTCCAGCTAATTTCCTCTATCCACTTATTCTGTTAATCATACTTAAAATAGCTAATTTTAATTAACCTGACAAAAATCAGCAATAATGAAAAATGAATAGCAATCTAATTTTAAGAATGATTATTTGATTGTTTTCTAGCCTTCCAATACAAGCAAGAGTCAAAGGGTAAACCTCCCTGCAATTACCTCAATTCTGGAATTTTCACAAAACGCTACACAAGAATCATGTCCACCTTAATAAATCTTTCAGTATACAAATAAGAATAAAGAAGACAATAATGTTTATTTACCTGGCGAAGAAATAATTTAAGAACATTACTTATATCATGAGCATGGAGTTCAGATAATTCTACCAAATCTTTCCCATTTTCAAATGATTGACAAAGTTTTTCAACTCTGGATTTGGCTCCATTCACACGGTATATCCCCTTAAATATGAAAACACGTCATAAGTAATTGTAAAAACAAAATTTTAATGGTTTTGAAGAAAAGCATTTGAAAACCAGTATGAATCTTTACCTTGACATTTAAGGCTCTGCTTTCAATTTCAGAGGTACACTTTCTTATGATGAAAGGGATACCATCTTGACTATTTTTAGAAACTTGAGTAAATTCTACTCCAAACAAATGAAGTTTTCCATGAAGCTTCTTATGTCCACACTGAATAGCTAAAGTCTCCAAACATTTTTTGTGACAGGAAAGTGAGCACTAAAAGCAGCAGCAAAGAAATGAGATATTAAAAACAGGGTAAGGGCATATAGCATCTACTATTCAGCTTATCATCTAACTTCATTTAACTTATTTAAAGCATTTAGCTTCTTTCAACTAGTTCGCAGTGATTTGGTACTACTTGAAAAGCTTTTGAATAGTTAACAGCTGCTTGAGGGTTGTATAAGCAAAAAGACAGAAATTCCAAAAATAAATGTATACAGTATACACTGTATATGTAATAGACAGGCAGCCATTCAAGTATGCCAGATCCAAAGTAGCTCTTAAACATGAGGCATAATGAATACTTCACCAACAAACCTTTCTGCCAAGCCTAATAAACAACTGGAGAAGGAGAACCATTTATATTATCTTGGCAAATATACTGCCAAGCTGGTAAGATAAATTGACACTATTCTCTCTGGCACTTCAAGCTCCCCATAGTAGCTTCATATGTCCAGTGCACCTCAGTCATGGAAACTACATGGTATGAAATTATATTATGTGACTCTAGTAACTTGTATCGCCCACAAGCCATTATAAGAAAGCCAAAAGGTGTTTGGATTTCCAACCTCTTCACATTCTGCTCCATGGAATACCACCAGACTATCACATTCCCTGCATTTGGATGGAGACCTCAACTTCCGAAGTTTGTGTGTTTGTGCTGCCTTAGATAGGAGAGTGTTTCGAAAAGGTCCAGGAGTACTGGCAATTTCAGCTGCTAGGTCATTTAAACCTTAAAATAAAATGATTTATTGTTAGCTTTTCAGAGTGCAAGGAATACACACTAATATTTTCAGATATTTATCCTATGAAATGATATCCTAATAATGATGCATATAATGTGTTCAGTAAAGTAAATTTATATATACCTACCTACCTAATGTATGAGATCCTAATCCTAAGCAATTCTGTGTAAGATGGTTGTCTTATCATTTTATCATATGATGGGGGCAGGAAATTGCTCACAATTTCATATTTCTACTTTTGAAAAAGTAAAATCATAGATTTCTCTATATTCACTGAATCATTATTTATTGGATTTGAAATATCCACTAGCATATCACCCAAGCCAAAACAACTCAAACAATAAAAATCCCTGCTTATTTAATTCTTCTATCAAACATACGTTTAACAGATGTATTACCCTTTTAGACAGAACAGCTAAGCTTCATTTTTGCAGAGTTCTTGTACTTACTGAAATTTGCTCTTTCAGCTCAATAAATATATTTGTTGGCTCAGAAGAGATAAACATGTCCACTATCTGCCCTTCTGTTTCTAACAAAGTTTAAGAATAAAAAAAAAATGGGACTGCAAAGTGTACTTAGAACAAAAAATGAACTCAGCTTAGAATTATATTACCACAGTCAGAAGGTGAAGGTGCCTCTCTCTCATCAAGATCATCTGCAGATGACATGGTCCCAATAGATGGTGTACGAGGAAGTCTTTTGAAGTCACCTACTAAACAGCCAAGAATGGACAATTTAAGCCCTTCTGTTGCATTTCTTTTGCTTCACTAAATCACAGCAATAATACTAGCATTGAAGAATAATATCTGTACCTGGGCTAGCAGATGGAGAATCCACAGATCGTGATTCACTGCTTCCTCCTGCACTTTCAGAATCACTGCACATTCCCCCACTTTGATTACCAACTGACCAGGATCTAAAAGGTGGTGGGCCTCGGACAGCTTTAAAGGAGAAGGAGAAGTAGGTTTAATGACTTCAAGTTCTTCAGATATAAAACAAATTTTATCCTGCTTCTCACAGTCTACATATAAATTTTAAAAATCAAAACTGGAGGTATCCTTCACTGTACTACAGTAAGAACTATATGTTCTCTGTGTCTGTACAAGCCACTCTTTTGGTTGTGCATGCTCTGCAAGTGGCAGTTTTGCTGTATTCATCCAATGGGATAGCCTGAATCATAACTATGGCAGAACAAAGTAGTCCAAGAAGCATTTGAATGCAAAACCAGAGCAGTAAATCAGAAATTTAGTTGTACAAATTTTGTTCACAGGAAAGCTGACATTAATTGACATCAAGTCCAACATCTACATTCAGGTAGATCCCAATTACATACCTGCTGTAAACCCATAAAAAGGCCTTGAAAACATGAACTACCAATTCTTGAACAACTGATCATTAGACGGAAACAGCCCCTACGTTATAGTGACACACTTATCCTCAATAATCAAATTGAAACGGATAAATATTAAATACATACTTAATATTTATTATATTTAAAAAATATTGTATGTGATTAACTTTCACATATTTCAACATTTTTCTACATTTACCGTTTGACCTTTGTTTCATTTTTTTGGAGAGGAATGATATTGTTCAGTTTCTATTCGTATTTCACTCTGGTTTCCTGACATATTAATATTAATTGAAAAGTTGAAAATTCTCACTTCCCAAAATTAAATTATGAGTCTTAATTATGTTTCATTTCCCTTGATATATTGACTTATGTAAAGATATTTTGTTGAAGGCAACAAAAATAAAAATAATACATTAGAATATTGATAGTGGCCAAATCATAATGATATATTAAAATTGTTTACTTAACTACATAAATGATCAATTGAAGTATTACCAGAGACATCTGTACTGCTCAAAGATCTTTTGTCTCCAATCTTTTGAGAGCAAAGATAGGCTGGGCTTGTAGTATCGTCTAGTAACTGAATAGGATAATCTCCTGAGCACTGAGGTATGCTTCCTTGGGATGCAGAAACATTGTTTGACTGTTCATCGAAAACTCTGTGAAAGGGAACAAACCATCATTTGAAATTGCATTGTTTTCCCAATTTATCCCAACAAATCAACATTTTACACTTCTGTTCAAGATTTTAAATGCTTATAGAGCCATAACCATAAATAATGAATCTTTCCTTGATGACTTTTAGCAACCTGGCAAGCGAAGACTCAATCCACAGATTATAAAACTAATTTAACAACAAACTCTACTCAATTTCTCAGGACCATTAGCTTCAAACTAATCCTAAAATAGTCTCTGGCATCTCAGCTAAATTTATTTAAACAACTTCCAACTTATAGTGAGTGATGCTATAAGAATTCATCGTAATGGCTAGCAGGCACTCTTTCAGCCTGGCATTCTCCAATGGGTTCTAGGTAACTTTAAACAATCCTGCTGGGCAGCTATTCACAGAGGAGTACACCTATTTACTGAGGTGCGTTAAATGCAGGCCTCCCCCAAACTTGCACTCCTCCTGAGGGACCACTCCACTATGCTCGCTGCCTTTTAATTTCCTGACCGTTCATCACCAAAATCAAGCTACTCACTATGACTTCAGTTCCCCAACTCTTTTGTTAATTAAAATGTATTAAATAAATTAAAATGTGTTTAATTTAACATATCTTGATGACATACACTCAGCTTCCCTTATTGTTGACTCATATGCAAAGATCAGAATAAAGTAAACAGAAGAACAATCCTCCAAACTTTAATAGGCTCTGGGTAAAAGACACTTATTAATGAAAATGTGAGGCAGATTGGTGGTTTCAAAATTAGATGATAGACAGACAGACAGACAGACAGACAGACAGACAGACAGACAGACAGACAGAATAAAAGATTTAAAATAAAAATGCAGTGTAAGCCAACTCTAAGTGCCCCTGTTTAGAATGTTGGGTTTTCTCCAAAATCCTATGATCCTATATACTGTATAGTAGACATCAAACAATTCAATCCACCTGTTTTATGTTTCTCTGACATTCAGAGTTCAATATTCTCTGACTGAAATGAGCATGCTAAATTTTCCATTACTTCTTTTGTTTTTAAAGTGGTTATGATTTTGAAATTTTTGGCAGATACTGGCTCTGTATTTAACATTGACGAAAATTATGAACTTATCTCCCTCCCCCAGCTGAGTAAAAAGTGGTAATTGTCTTAGCAGCTTTGGTCATGGACAAAAAGGAAATGAAGACTCCTTTAACAGCAAAAAACTGATAAACGTGATTAAACTACAATAAAGAAATAGAACTGTAAAGAATCCTGGATATGACCAAGAAATCCAAATATTCTCAGGCTTTTATATAAATCATTTATATAACAACCATTTCCCTACAACATTATAGAATCAATAATTAAGAATTATTCTTCAATTATAGTAATTAAATATGGGAAAGAAGACACAGATGTACTGGTAAACCTAACCAAATGCACAATTTTGCTAAATTCAAAACATTAACTTATGTAAGAATGCTTCTCACCTGCTTTTAAGCCCTATTTCAATTTGTTTTCCCACCATTTAATAGGCATCCAACCAGTAATCCAAAAATTCAGGCTTTTATTTCTTTATCTATATTTTATTTCTTTAGCTAAACTTTTGGTTCATATTTACTGCCAAATACGGAAGAATGTATCTAGTATCTCACCCTCCAACCTGGGAAGTCTGAGTTTCAAAGCAAACGGACTCAGTAGGAGCTTCATATTTTGGCAAATTCTTCACATATTCAAATAACATTTTTCCTGGATCATACAGCTTGGCACTCTCACAGAGGTATTGATAATTGACTGGCATTGAAACAACTTGGGCATGCTGCATCTGGAACAGGTTAACTGTTGCCTACGTGGAAGATAAAGTTTTTCAAGACTTCACAATACTGTTTAAAAACAGCAAAATACAAAGAAACTACAAAATGTTAGATACATGTATATTAATTAAAATAAAACCTAAACTCTACAAATAGTTCTAAGCCTACATTTTCTATACAATTAACCTATCATAAAACAATGCAGCTCTAGACTAAAGTTTAAACTGCAGCTGCATTTTTCATGCTTTTATTTATTTTATTATTTTATTATTTAGAAAATTTATATAGCCATCTATCCACTCACAGGAACTCTAGGTCAGAGTTCTCCAACCTTTCTGGGTTGGTGGCCTGGAGTGGGGAGAGGGGAAAAGAGGGGATGGTTTTGTGGGAGGGGCAGGCATGCGCAGCTACTCATGCGGCCCGGTGGCCATGGCAGAGCAGGGGGCCGTGGCCCACAGGTTGGGGACCCCTGCTCTAAGTGGCTTGCAAACAATAAAACACAGTATAGAAATAAAAATAGAACATATCAATAACCCACGCCCACCCACTTGTTGATCTTCAAATTCTCAACTTCGTTTTAAAGGAAAGATAAACATTAGACCCTTTGCTTGGTACCAGTATATACAAAAAAAAAAAAAAAAAAAAAAGCAAGCATTGGCACTCTCATCAAATATTATGACAGAAGCAACATTATTACATAAAGATGTAAATATGGCAAAGATAATCAGATATAATCAGATAAGAAATGAAGCTCTGGAACTGGGAGCTTTTTTCATTTGCAGTTTTCTCTATAGCAGGAGCACAAAAATATAGTTTACCAACATCCATTTTGCAGCATTCAGAGCCGCCACAGATTTAGTGGGGCTCTCAACTTATCATGAAAAGCATAGTATGGCTTTTTAGCTAATGAAAGTTGTACAACTTCTCTTCAGTCAGGTTTTTCAAGTTTTACTTTAACTCAGGTGTGTCCAATCTTTTGGCTTGCCTAGCTGCACTGGGTGAAGAGGAACCGTCTTGGGCCACATATAAAATATATAATATAATCAATGTATGTAAATAATATACTTCATTATTTATATTTTTTATTATGATCTTGTGCGGCCACATTACTAGCTGTCAGGGCCGCATCTGGCCCATGGGTTGTGGGTTGGACATGACTGGTTTAACTGAATTAAATGTGACTTAATTGTTTTATGAGAGTCTGTTTTTTGTCGTTTGTTATCTGGAGTTCAACAAACAGAACAACAACCATAAATCATAGCTTCCTGCCACTTTCCTTTCTCATATATTTCCCATTCAAATACTAAGAGGAGATATGAAGTTTACACTTTAAAATTTTAGCTGTGGGAGCAGTTGTTAGAATGAAGTATTGTAATGTAATGAAGGCTAACTGTAGGCTAACTCAGCCCACTGGCAGCAGTTCGATTCTGACCAGCTCAAGGTTGGCTCAGCTCTCATCCTTCCGAGGTTGGAGGACCCAGATGAGGACCCAGATTGCTGGGGCAATATGCTGACTATGTTAACCACTTAGAGAGGGCTGTAAAGCACTGCAAAGCAGTATATAAGTCTAAGTGCTATTGCTATTTTAACTAAATACCACATTCTGTACCAGAAAACTATCTGAGATAACACAATGATTGTCTTATGCTAATGGATTTCATGATAATTAAGGAAAGATTGAAATCATTTTCACACTATGGCAAAGTATCTAATGTTGCCATTTTAAAATTCACTAAAGATTTTCGGATTTAAGATACATTAAGTCATATATTCTTACAGCTTTTAGTGTGAGATCACATTGATAAATTTGTTCCCGTAGCTGTGTTAAAATGACACTTTTGAAATTTTCTAGATTACTTCTCTTTTCTTCAACTTCAGCCTTGCTGGCTTTGAAATGTTCATTGGCTTCTTCAGCCTACAACAAATGAAGGATAAAGAAATAGGTATTGTTAGAAAAAATATCCAGTTAACTCTAATCCCCTTCCATAAATAACCCATAATAAAAAGTCATACGATTCAAATAATGGATAAAAGCCAATGTCTGCCTATTTGTCAAATAGTGACAGATTTAAAGAAGATACTTTACTTTTTGGAGAGCTTCCTCTTCCAGTTTACGTTTCTTTTCTAATTTGCTGGTATCTTTTGTAAAGCCCCAATTGGAAGAAATATAGTCATCCTCAGCACGCAGAGTGGTTGATTTTGCCTTCTCATACTCCTCTTGCCGTTGAAGATATAATTGTTTTGCTTTTCTTACACTGGATTCCAGTTCTTGCTGTACATTCCGAAGAAAAATAACTTTTATACTAAGAAGTACACCTTGTGGTAGAATATTAATCTGTTAAATCAATATGATTTTCTAATTTCCAAGCATATTTCTACTTATTAAAACATAATGATTATGATAAAAGAAACTATGATCCTTATACTATTAAGGAAAAAACAGATGTGTAGGCAATTGCTTATAGGTAATCCTCAATTTACAACCATATCACACAATCACATCCAATTTTGCAATCTTTATTGGTCCTTAAGTGTATCACTGCAATTATTAATCGAGACATCACTTGACCAAGACAAGCAACGTTTCTTGCAGGCAAAAGGTAGTCTTATGACAGCAGGACACTGCAGCCATTGTAAATGCACAAGAGTTGCCAAGTGCCCAAATCACAATCACATGTCCATGGGGACTCTACATGAGACTTGTCTTTTTCATACAATGTCACAATTTAAGCTCAGAAGGAAAGTTCAAATGAGTAAACAAGATGTATAATAAACAATGATACTCACCAATTTTTTCTGTTCTCGTTGCCAAAGTTCCTTTATCTCTTTTCTTTGTCTATCCAATTCACTTTTTCTCCCAAGCAGCGGCTAAATAAGAAAAATGAACTGAGTAAAGAAGTATCAGTTATGTGTTAGCAGTTCACATAACAATGAATTATTCATATAGCAATACTTCTTACAGAAGAATTTTTATTTACCTGTAAAAATTTATTAGTTTGAAGAGCTACTGCTGTCTGCTGCCAAAGCAAACTGTTCTCTATATCATTTTGAAATGCATTTATGAATATTGACTGGAATGGCATGTAGTCCTAAAAGCAAACACACATAATGTAATGCTAGTATTTTTTCAAAATAGTGTTAGGATTCATTATAAAAATGAAAAGTTGTTTAAACAGCTTTAATGCCAAATTAAACTGCTACATAACACTTGTTTAAAATAATTTTAAAATGCTGTTTTTTTAAAAAAAATAGTGCTTAAATGACTGTTTAAATATTTGCACCTTTACACATCTGTTTAAATACTTGCATCTTACCATAGTTATGATATACTTTATTATAATAAATTATTCAGATTTTAAGACACAAGATAAGATACAAACTACCAAATAATTAAGAACTTATAAAGTTAACTTGTAATTCAATTCATTTTGAATTGAATACTATTCACAAAATAGTAATGATTTACATAATACATTTAATATTCTTTTTTTTAACTGAATACACACCTGAGATACAATAATAGTCTTAGTGGTTTCTGCTACTTTTGCCAGGTTTTTAGCACACTCCATTTCTGTAGAAAAAAGTATTAAATATAGTAAAAAAAAATAAATCTTAATCTTAATTAGATACTATTTTATTACAATCTTCCAGGCACAGGAACCAGCATTTGTTCCATTCATTTTAACAAATAGTTATTAATTTAGAAGTCACACTACTGGCAACGGGTAGTGCAATTCTGACAATATAAAACCTATATGCCTGCCTGACTCTGAATGACTGCAGATGCCAGAAAAAGGTACTCACCCAAATTAATTTTTTTCTCTACCCATACAACAATATCCTTTGCATATTTTGACCATGCTTTAGCATAGGATAGAGCAGATTTGATTCCATTATCATTTCTTAGGAGAGCGCTATCAATTTCTTCAGCATTAAGGTGCCCTGAAAATAAAGCATCAAGTATAAAACAGCACATTTTAGACATTAGCTAACTGTAAACACTAAATCATTAATCTTTTAATGCTAGTTGACAACTAAATGGATCTGACAGAGCTTATAGAACACATTAAAAGTTCACAGAATTATATCTTAGCAAACTATGGATTTTTTGTAATAACATACCAGGAGAAAAATAATATGAGCAGCTTAGGTTCATTCTGATAGTAACATAAACAATTTTTAAGATTGGGATGAGACATAATGAGACATAACTGCCCCTGGAGATACGGAATATCCCTGATCTCTGTGCTTTCCACCGTGCCCTCAAGACCCTGATGTTCCAACAGGCGGGGCTAAACATACGAACATGTGAATGATTTTTTTAAATGTTATCTAATTCTGGGTTTTATTTAATTGACCAAACTAAGTAATAATTTTAATTAGCAATTTTATGATGTTTGTGTGTCTATATTTTTCTTGACTGTACACCGCCTTGAGTCCTACGGGAGAAAGGCGGTATAGAAATATAATAAATAAATAAAATAAAATAAAATAAAATAAAATAAAATAAAATAAAATAAAATAAAATAATAATAATAATAGCAGCAGCAGTAGTAGTAGTCAATTGCAAAAGGCAACTTTACTTGAAACAGCTTACATCCTATGATGATAGCTTTAACACTATCAAACAACAACATCTGCCTATCCGAGGTCCTTGGAAAGGACTCAATAGGTGGATAAAAATGCCAAAGCTAGTCTAAAGTTCTGACTGTGCAATCAACCCTAATAATATGTTCAAGTGTGGATTTATGATTGTTAAAACATTTAAAAACAAAGAATAATACAAAAAAAAAAAGCTAAAAGCACAAGAAAAAAGAGCCATGGTGAAGAAAAGAAATGGGGGGGGGAGGTAGAAAGGGGCATCAGTCATCCTTTCCAAAGGCCTGAGTGAAGAGCCACATTTTTAAGGTTCTTCAAAATACCAGTAGGCTCAGAACCTGAATTTGGGAGGGAATTCCATTCATAATAAAAAGAGTATTTTAAAACATCAATGATTTTCCTCTAAATATTTATATTAGTATTTTTATATAGTATTTATGTAGAAGATCTGTTTATAACTTTTTACTGCCTCTATTACGATTTACCTACAAAAAATGGGGTACAAAGTCATCATGCATTTAAAATTCTCACCTGTTGATTGAACACCTTCATGTAATGATATTCCAGAATCTGTACAAAGGTTTTCAAAAGACTGGCATACAAAAAAAAAACTTTATTAGCATCAGCTAAAAATTTTTTTAAACACATTATATGCTACCTGATGAGGCAGAGTGGGAGGGAATACAAAACTAGATAAACAAGAAATCTAGCATTTATAGATAAATCGTATTTAATTGGCCTTATTAATATTTTACATTTTATTAAGCCAAATTAACAAAAGTACAGATACATGTAACAGTAGTAACAAAAATAATATAACAGCAAAGGCATCTTCAATTCATAAAAAATAGATTCATAACAGCAACCCAACCTGTTGATATTAACCCAAAATTGATACTAATGAGGCAAAACCAAGTCAGATGGGTTAATTAGTAACTCCACACTTGGATCTCCAATATTAATGCAACTATAAGCAAAGCTGAAGTATTATTTGAGTGGACCAGTGTTTGAAGCATTTTTTATTTTTTTATTTTTATTTTTGCTGTCTTAACTTCATAGAATCATATAGTTGGGATTGTGGACATCGTCTGGTCCAACTTCTTCCCCAGGGCAAGAAATTTTCAACTATCCCAGACAAATATCTGTTTTAGTGGTTTGGAAATCTCCAGTGTTAAAGTATCCATGACTCCAGGAACCTTCACTTCACAGTATTAATGCTAATATTAAATTGAAATGGTCAAATAATGTAAGCTTTTCATGGGTAAATAGGTCACAATAATATCTTTACTCCAATATTTCCTATAAAATTCTTTGCAACATGTGCAGATGCCCTCATAAATGAGGAATATAATACTAATCAAGATTTTAACAGGTTCAGATAACAATTTTTCAGCTTAGTCCTCAGAGGATCTGAAATCTGAAATCTTACTCCAGTGCAGATAGGTCCTTGACTTATTACTGTAATGGAATCACAATGTATAAAGTGAACCCACTATTTGATATGTGTCATTTTTGCGAAAAATCAGAAGTAAATGCCGTTTTTTTAGCAAAATCATTTTAAAATGTGGTCATGTGGCTGCAAGATGCTGCAAACAGCCATCAATCCAGACCAACTGCTGAGCGCTTTGATATGCAACTATGGGTCAGAACTTTGGAACCGGGTTGTAAGTACCCCCAGGGAGATCTATTGTAACTCTGGGTGATCACTAAATGATTGGATTTTAAGTGAAATATATTGTCTCCATGAGAAAAAAAAAATCTATTGCACAGATGATGCATGTTTAGCACCAGTAGCATATTCTTTCAATTAACCAGGAAAACACTCTGTGAGAGTAGGTAAAAAGATCATATATTAAGATTTACCTATAATCAAAGTCAGGTGATATTTGTAGACTACTGAGGCTAACACTACTGCTTTATGCATATTATAAACATTATGGTTTCAAATGTATTAATATTAAACAGTTCCCAAGGTTTTTGTTTTTTTAGCTGACAGGAATATTAGGAATCTGAGTGCACAGCAGGAATGTTCTTTAAAAATGTCTTTTATTGAGGACTCAATCAGTTATGAAGCTTGATATATGAGAATATCATCCCCACTTGCTTAGTTTCCATCTAGTATGCTATTATTCCTGCTTATGGTTTTTTTCCTGGTGAAGCAGATATACTTCCAAGCAAAGCTCTAAAGCTCTATTACCTTCCATTTTTATTTTTTAAAAAAGCTAGTGGGGCTCATTTCAGAACCAGAAACATTCACAGCAACATGAATGGATTATGGTGCTTTTAATGACAGGACTCTAGTTTTAAAATTAAAATATATTTTAAGTGTAAGGAATAAAATGAGTCAACAAGCAAGTAAAGCACCAAGAAGATATCCTGCACTGGGGCCCACAGATAAAAAGTAGGAGCATGAAAAAAACCAGCCTTTTCAATAAAAATCACAGTAAAATAACAACAACGACATTGAAACTAAGCAACTTTTCATATTACACTATCTTCACTCACTAACATATTTTCCAGCTCATTTATATTGTTAAGACACTTAAGCACAAAGGGAGCTTATGAAAACCAACATTCATCTTTCTATAAAGATTTTTATCCATCACAAGTTGACATGACAACTCATTTCAATTTCTTACTAGAAGTCCACAAAATTCATGTACCTTAACTACTGTAGTTGAATACAATAAAGTATCTCAAAAAAAGAACAAAAGAACCCACATTTAGATTTATATTTTAGAACTAAGGTAGTTCCAGTTTTGTACAAATTTGCCATAGTTTCTACGAAAAGTTGGGTTCTTATGCAGTTTTTAAGTTTTAAACTGTTCTTGATCAGTAGTAAGGAAATCTATATTATCAATCACTGCACAAAGCTAAAACTTTCAAGAACATTTGTCAACGTACTTGACTTTGCCGAGATACCTGAAGACACAGTCCTGAGCCATTATCCACATCTCCCATAAGGAAGTCTGAAACTCTGTCATGGGAGTCAGAATAAAAATTAAATTATGCTTTAGTATACCACACAGGCACAAACATCTAACAAATATTCAGACCAAATATCATATGGAAACTATCAGCATCTATTTTAAGATAGTCACAACTATAAAAGATAGCATTTTAAAATATATATTATGTTTAACTGCTAAAAACTGCTACACCTTATGAAATTGTTGAACATCAGGTAACTTCAAAATTTGGGTAGAAGCCTAGACAGATATAGTCTGCTCTGTTCTTAACTGTTAGAAAGCAGGATACATAAGGCATTGGTAGAAAAAAACAGGTGGGACATCAGTGTTGCTTCAGAAATCAAAAATTTAATGGAGAATAGCTGCAAGAAAAGACTGGAAACACTGAAGCAAAGACCTTCAAAGTATAAGAGTATAAAAATTTACTCTTTCTTTTCAATTGCAAGAAAAGCTTGCTATATTAGGAGACCAAAAAAAAAAAGAAGAAGTAGCATTAGGAAAGGAAAATTACAAATTAAATGAATAACATGGTTGAAGAATCTTATTAGTGGTTCAGATACGTAGAGTCTAAAGTCTAAAAAACACCATTATATCTTTTTAAAACTTACGCGTTGCCAAAAGTGAATGCCAGTAAGTCAATAGAAGAGAATATTTCACTTAATACTTCTTGCTTCTTTTCTTCATTAATTTCCTTAAAGTTCACAGCTAAGAGAGAAAACAAAGAGGCTCTGTAAATTAGCAGATTGAATTTTCATAGCTAAGTAATGCTCTCAAATCAGGCCATAGAGTGAGTACACTATGTTGTATTTAAACTAAAGAAATAGGGCTAGGGAGTATTTTATTCAGTTCATGCTAGATAATCTTTTCAAAAAAGAGGGAGGGAGGGAGGGAGGGAGGGAGGGAGGGAGGGAGGGAGGAAGGAAGGAAGGAAGGAAGGAAGGAAGGAAGGAAGGAAGGAAGGGGCAGTATCTCCAGATAGGAGCTAAGCACTTCCCCATTTTTCAAACTCCAGAGAGCCATCTTACATAATGCTATGTGCATGTGGAATTTGGGACATGTGAGAAGGGAAGGTTAGCAACTTCCCTGAAAAAAATATTGTTCAGGCAGGGATCATTCACTGGCACCAAGAGAAGCATATTTTGCTAAGCTTAATTAATGCTTCCTGTATAATGTGATAATTTTGAGCGATCACACTATACAGAAAGAGAAACAATAGGTTTTTAGTGACTCCTTGAAAAATCACTTTGCCAACTTTCATTGGCACTCAAGGTTCTGGAAACTAAATTCAAGATCCTGGCAAAAAGAGTAAAAACTGACTGCAGGTCTATCATTGCTCTTTATTGTCTGAATCGGTTTGTAATATAAGCCAACATTTTAGTTTCTTCATTAAGCAAAAAGTGTTTTCATGATGTAACTACATTTTATCATAAACAGGGGCATACGTTATTATCCTGGATTGTAGAAAAACTGAACCTACAAAAGATAAGCAAAATGAAGAATAGAAAATTTTAAATCCATTTCAATTAGAGGAGCAGGGAGTTAAATGCAGCAGTCTTAGAATTAAGTCATGTCATTTTTCTTTTCTGAAAAGCTTTGCAGGTATACTCAGAAATTTAGAAAATTGGGAATATTTCAGTTCCAGTTTTTTCCCCCCCATTACTCAATCTTCATATTTCACTGGTATTTAGAAACAGCATCCATTATATCCTTTAACATCTTTTACACAATACATTATTTTATTAAGAAACTAATGAAACCCTGTTTTAAAGAAAATAAATTAGAAAAATGTAAATGAGTTTATTTAGAAGTCAGCTACATTTAAAACACCATGTGATTTTATTGACAAGTATTTAAACAAAGGCAATTAATTAAATAAACCAGATATTCCATCAGACTTCCTTTGTGACAAGGAAAGTTTCTAGTAGGTTGAGAGAAATTAACTGTCTAATATTATATATTATAATAATCTATTCAATATAGACTTTATTGCTCATAATGTAAATTGTGTTTCCTCATATAAACTCTGCTCTGAAAACTCTTCACAAATGATTGAAATATTTAAAACCAATTCCTCTACATTCTATATTCTAAAATTTAACAATGCATTTATAGTCATACTAATAGGTTTTGTAAGATAAATTACATATATCATTTTTTTCCAGAATGAAATACTAGAAATAAAAAGCCTGATACCATTAAGTAGTTTAAAAGTTCAATTAAATCAAAGGCAGTCGCTAGCTCATCCTGTATGGCATAAAAGGGATAGTACTGTTAATTTGAGAAAAACAATCTAATGGTTCACAATAACAGTGTAAATTAAGTATGCAAGACATAAATATATATTTTAATATGTATATTGAAAATATTACTGGAAATTAAAAGAGGAAATAAGGAGGAAAACAATAAAGATAGCAGTAGCAAAAAAATGCACAATTTGAACTGTTTTGAACAATGTTCCCCCAAGGAAATGCTATCGACTATACCAAACAAAATCTTTTCCTGTTTTACAAGTCTGTCTTTGTTTCTTGCTATGCCTAAATTGTAATGATTTGGAAAATAAGTACTTAGTGATTTAAATATAAATTAATTTCTCCTACCTTATTTCCAAAATACTTCTACTCAAAGAACGCTAAAGCCTTCTTTCAACCATTACATACTGATATTACTTATCATCAGCTTTAAACAGTCTTTCCCCAGGACATCCTGGCTGTACACAATAGCGCTGACAACAATTAGTAATACTGTTTCCATGTCTGGAAATGGCAGTTTCTATACAGCTACTCTTTCAAGTCAGCATGCAACATAATAGAGATGGGAAAAATTAATGTAAACATTTGGTTCCAAGGACTATTATTAAAAACTGAAACCATAATCCCTGGATTTATAATAACATAATTTAGTAGTCTAATAAAATATAATTGTAACTTGAATTTTATTCTATCTATCTATCTAAGAAATCCAAACTGAAACACTTCCATGTGATCTACTGGTATTTATTTTTTTCTTCACCTGTTTTAAATATGCAAATATTAATTGTGGCAAGCAGTGCAAAATAATGAAAATATGTTGGGATAAATTAAATGCCCAATGTAGTAATTTTATCACAAATTGTGATAATGGTATAAGATCATAAGATTGATTGAATATAATTAATAATAATTAGTATAACATTACACAATTAAAGCCATTGCAATTATTCGAAGTTGCTAAAAATACAATGGCATATATTTCATAGTAATAAATAAAATGCAAAAAGATTGTTATTTACAACAAATGCTCATCTGGGAATAAATGGATTCTTTGCTGTCACAGAGAAATATACGAAAGCAATGAAGTCTATATTGAGTAATTTATTATAATATATGATATTAGACAGCTAATAAATAGAAAGCTTGCCTCTAAAAGACTGGAGTTTGGTTTAATAAGATGAGTCAAGACTTTGTTGAGAGAACAATCTGTATAGTAAATTTTTGAGAAAATAAAAATAGAAAAGCTTCCAATATAGATGGCTCTTGGTTAACAACTACTCATTCAATAACTGTTCAAACTTTTGACGGCACTGAACAAATGGTACTTAAAGGACAAATCCATAAAGTTCCAGCTGTTCCTGTGCCCTTACAGTCATGTGATCACAATTTGTGATCTTCTCTGTTGGCTTTCCACAACCAAAGTCAATGGGAAAGCCAGAAGGAAGTCACAGTCATGTAAGGTTTTTGCTTAATGATTCGTTCAACAATGTAACTAGGGACTGTTGGAACTGCCATCACTAAGCAGCACAATCACATGATATCACTTACAAATGGAATTCTGGTCCCAATTGCCATTGTTAAATGAGAACTGCCTTGTACTGAATTACAAGCATCAGACAAGAGTGTAGTAGCCTGTACATGTAGCAATGGAAAATGCCCACTGCCTGTAGCAGGCATTCTGGAGAAACCATGGAACCCTACTTCTTCTTCTTCCTTTTTTTTTTTTTAGTTTGTATCGGTTTGTATTGTTGCAATTGTAGTTTTTAATTCTAATTTAATTGTTCAAATCAATAATAAATATTTAAATTACTAAAATACCATTGAATCAAATATGGTTAGACATACTTCAAGTGAATATAATATTGATTAAAAATTGTAGCTAGAAACGTAGTTTAGTTGGTCCATTAAAGTCTTAGCTGCATAATTATTCCAGTGGCATAATGATTACATATGGGAACAGAACTGAGACTCAGTATCAAGTCTACTTTCAGTCATGAGAGTTCACTCAGTGACTTTGGGCCAGTTATTATCTCTCATCCTAAATTGCTTCAGTGTTATTACTGTGAAGGGAAAATCTGAGAAGGAGTGCTGTATAGGCTACCTTGAGCTTAGTGGAAAAAAGACAGGATATAAATCTCACAAAGAAAAGTGGTAGCAATCTCCAAATTAGTGGAACACTAAAAAGAGACACCCCCCCTCCAAAACTTTGAGCAAGCTATATTTTGCAATTCAAGTATAATACAGAAGCATTACAACAAAATTAAGAGCATGAGCCATGAAGAGAGGTATTTGTAGAATCTAGTGGTTTCATCTGTTGGCATTCCCCTCCCCTCCTCTCCACCCCATCTTAGATAACTATGGCTGTGGTAACCTGATTAAAAACTAATTTCAGATATGAATATTTAATATGATCTTTGTAAGATTATTTCCCTAAATTTCAGTTTTAAATATGCAATATAGAAAATAATACTGTTGTGTATCATGGGATGGTTATTCAATTTCTGAAAAAATATTATACCTTAAATACTTTAGCTATCTCCACCCCCCACAAACACCAATTATTGAATTATCAAATGGAAAAAAATACCCATATGAGTATTTAATAAATTCAGAAGTACACAATAATATTAATAATTTAATCCATTTTTAAAAAAAGGCATTTAATTACTGAAGGTACACAGATAAAAGAATCCCAATTTGTGTTAATTGATGCTATATTTTAAAGATTTTTTTCTAATCCCAGTTTACAGTCACAATAAAATAATTGGATCATTTTTCTTACCTCTGACTTTTGCAATGACTGTACCTGCAGCACTTAGAACATCAACTGAATAAAGATTCGGATGTTTGTTAATTATTGCCTTTAATACACGAAGTACCTCACCCAAACGTTCATGAACAAATTGATGGCGACAGTTTTGATTTTCTGGAAAGAAAATTTTATAGTATTTAATAGATAAGCAGTATCCACATAAAGTGCTGCAAATATGATTTCCCTTGTTATCTGGGCTTAGTCACATGGAAGGCTTACAGGAGCTATTTTAAGAGTATAAACTAGTTCATACTGTCAAAGAAAAGTATGGAAGGAAAGTATTGTGATAGGAGTTACAGCATTTAAAAACTGAGAGTAAACTTCCAGGAAAGACTATCAATAAATAATTAGACCATGACCATACTTTTCAATGGATGTTCACAGAGCCACCCTTGCCCCCATGTGGCAATGGAACACTGCCTGCACAAGCAGGTATTCTGGAGAGACCATGGAAGAATTGCCCCTTGAGCAGACAATATTCCTTTCAACTATATTAATTATTTAACTGATGTAGTTAAAACTTCAAAAAGTGCAGAAACAAAGAACTTGTCTATCCACTGTGTGCCATAGTTTCTGAGAGTCTGGGAAATGTCAGATGTTCTAATATGGATTTTCTCTCTCCTCCAAATTAAAAGCATTTTTCGTTATAATCGTTCAGCAAAAAGATATTCAAATGGAATCAATTTTATTTTCATTAAATCAAGGAGAGTTAAAGACTTCTATTTCTTCACCTAGATTAATTTATGTCTTAATAGGCAATCTTCTGTGATCCAAGAGCTGCACTCAAAATGTGAGCTTGACCAGAAAGAAATCAGCAAGCTGTTAGTCATTAAAAGTAAATGTATGAACTAATAGAATGTTTTATCTCCAGAAGTGGCCAATCAAATACTTTTAAATGATTATAAAGCCTGGTGTACAGATCTGGGAAGAAACAATATTATTCTTTTCACATAACTATTGCCCTATTTGCTTTTTCTGAAATTGAAATATACAGGACAATTTATTTAAGCGCTTGGACTACTTTAATATTAAGTGGAACATTTGAAAACAATCCAAATCCTGACAAAATGCAAGCCCACTATGTATATCAGGGGTATCAAACTCGCAGCCTGCGGGCCAGATGTGTCATGTGCTGGCCATGCTCACCCCTGTTTTAGCAAAGGGGGGAAAAGTCACGATACGTCACGTGATGAAAATGTGAGGCCGCGAGTTTGACACCCCTGATGTATATTAAAAATCACCTCATGGCTTACTGTAATTCAGTGCCTAATTTATATATCACAAAAGACAGGAAGGAACATGATCTGTTTTACTAAAACTTTATTTCTAACAATGTAGCAGAACCTAAAATATATTCTCATTGTTTTCTACGTTTTATAGAATCTATAGATAGGATTCAAAATATCTAAAATCTAGCATCAAAATGATGATCACACTGTTTGACAGGAAGAGCTCAGATATGTCAATTTAATTTCATATAATAAAAAGTTAAGTAGACAGATATATACTTAATTTCATAAAATAACAGTTCACTTGGATACGGAAGGATTTTAAAATTATCAAGTTAAGCTCTCTCTTATGCTTAAATTTAAGACACAGCAGCAGTACAAACAGGTACCAAAAAATTTTCAATAGCAATCCTGATTTAATGTTATATCCTAATCCTCACTTCATTTAATGGCTATCTTTTCCTATTTTAACACACTTCCATCTTTCCTAGAATATCACTATGAGTACTTTTTACTCAATCATTTATTTCAACGGATGATTTATATTTCTTTAAATGATTTTGACCTACTCTAAAGTAGTAACATCCAATCCAATCTCTATAACCGGATTCAGAAAAAGGGAACTTAATCTTCCATTATTCTAATATGCAAAACATTCAAGCAAAGATTTTTTTTTTACCAGAATAGGATGAAAGCCAATAACAGCATTGAAAACACATCAAACAATTAAAATTGATGCAGATGATTTTAAACTCCTTTAAAATCTGCTTCAAAGTGTTATGGCACTTTAAAAAGATGAAAAAGTATTAATTTATAGGCTTTAATCATAATTGCCCAGAACAAAAGTCAACAATCAATTATAAAAGCCAATCCACATGAACTATGTACCAGCAATACCAAGTGGAATGACAGTCTTACAACATTTATATTCTAATTCACTTGAGATATTTATAACCAATACCAATTTCTTCATTACTACCAACTTTCCTTAAAGAAACTGTGTCCTTATTCATAAAATAATTATCAAGCAAACCTTAAGCTTGTGATAAACCACTATTAACTCATTTTTCTCTTCTGTAAATTGAGTGCCATCATCAAGCAAGTGAAGGAAATGTAATATTAAGGAGTTATCTTCCAATCATCTTCAACATGGAAAAATTTAATAAAAGACTATCTTGGGTACCTTTTTTGTGACCAATTTTTAGTTATCTCTAAAAACACTGCAAAATTGTTATCAATAGCTATTAGAAGGCTAACAGAAGTTGTTCCTAATTGTTTCAGGCCCGTCCTGTACGCTCATTCCACTCATATGCTCTCTAAATGTGTGTTTTATGTGCACTATTTGATGTATTTTAATTATTGGTCTGGACCAAAGAAACAAATGAACAAATCATGTACATACAAAATCCACCAACACATTACCTTAATTTGCAAGTGGTGAAATCCAATTTTTTTTACTACCAGTTCTGTGGGTGTGATGTGGCTTGGTGGGTGTAGCTTGGTGGGCATGGCAGGGGAAGGATACTGCAAAATCTCCATTCCCACCCCACTCTGGGTGGTATTTGCCATTGTCCGAACTACTCAAAATTTCTGCTACCGATTCTCCAGAACCTGTCAGAACCTGCTGGATTTCACTCCTGGTTTGCAAGTTCCTGCACCAGTAAAGCTCTTTAAGGAAAAGGTCCTAAGCCTAATGCTTTATGGTGCAGAAGTCTGTCTGTATAAAGACTTAAGAGCATTAGACAATGCCAACACAAAATGTGTAAGAACGAAGCTTTATTTCACTTATATTCTAAATATTTCCACAAATTCAAAACAGGTCTCCCTTCTACAGAGGCATTGTATGACTTTATAAATTAAGATACTGGAAATCTTTCTTGTATCCTTACTGCTTATTGGCAAGTTAACTTCCTCAAAGAAAAATAACACAGAGAAAGATTTAAATTATTGTAGCTTTTCGTTCAATGTTTAATTGTACAAAATGTCACTGGAATAAAGCGGCATATACCAATTCCAACCTACAGAGAGAAGTTTGGCTCATACTCTTATAAAGAAATTATTTGTTCTCAGAAAACTATTTGTATTAGGCTGCTACTTTACTAACATTCTGTCTATTCCACAAATAATCATTTTTTCCATGCTAGACATCAGTGGTGGGTTGCTCCCGGTTCACAAGAACCGGTAGTAAAAAATTTTAGTAGTTCGGAGAACCAGTAATAACATTGGTTGGCCACGCCCAGAACCGGTGCCCAGCCCGGTCGCTGGTCGCTTACCCCGCCCATCAAAGCCTCATCAAAGGTGTTTTTTTTTTTTTTTTACTTTTCTACAACCTCTTCAACTGAAAAAATGCTTTTAAAAGTTTTTTAAAAAGCCTCTGATGATCGCACGGCTCAGCTGGAATCTCAGAGGCTTTTAAAAGCATTTTTTCTACAACCTCTTCGGCCGAAGAGGTTGTAGGGGAAAAAAATGCCTTTAAAAGCCTCTGGCAATCCCAGCTGACTTGCCTGATCATCAGAAGCTTCTAAAAGCATTTTTTTCTGCAACCTCTTAAGGTTGTAGAAAAAATGCTTTTAAAAGTAAAAAAAAAAAAAGTTGGCCACGCCCACCCAGACACATTACCCCCAAGCCACACCCACAAAATAAGCCATGCCCACAGAACTGGTAGTAAAAAATTTTAGAATCCACCCCTGCTAGACATAATAAAATTCTATCTACAAATCTGGAGGGCAGATATAATAATGTCTCTCTCAAAGATCTTATTTGAAAGGATCGGTCATCAATCCCACATGTCTTAATGAATTGTTTCATGTATTAATCTTTGAACTGGCTTTCTGATTTATTTTAGAAGGAAAGCATTTCAACTTCATTTTATAAGGATTATCAAATGCAAATGGATCATATTAAAAACCTGTCAAGAAATATTCACTGCTTTTTTTCCAGTTCCATCCATAGATGTCCAAGTTTGCTTTCCTCTTATTTATTCTTATATTTTTTGGGAACAATATAATTTACCTATTTTCTAATTTAAAACATATAATTTCTGAATGGCATCTTTACCACACATGCATTAATTTCTATCAGTCTTTAATTTCTATTAATCACTCAAACACAGAATCTGGTCATACAGCTGCTAAAACATGTTCTACAATCAAGTTTACCAGTTTCAAAACAATGACCTGACATTACATTACATACAATTGAGAAAAGTATTCAAGTTGTATCAGCAGGGTCTTCTTTTGTTAGGCACTATTTACGAGATTCAAATAATTGGTTTTATTAATTAAACTTAATAATGAAAGTTTAATATTTGGCTTTTAAAATATGCAGATGCTTTATTTTACTATCCATTTTATCAAATGCTAAATATTCCTTTATTAGTATTTACAGTCATGGCCGTAAATGTTGGCACCCCTGAAATTTTTCCAGAAAATGAAGTATTTCTCACAGAAAAGTATTGCAGTAACACGTTTTGCTATACACGTTTATTCCCTTTGTGTGTATTGGAACAAAACCAAAAAAGGGAGGAAAAAAAGCAAATTGGACATAATGTCACACAAAACTCCAAAAATGGGATGGACAAAATCATTGGCACCTTTTCAAAATTGTGGATAAATAAGATTGTTTCAAGCATGTGATGCTCCTTTAAACTCACCTGGGGCAAGTAACAGGTGTGGGCAATATAAAACTCACACCTGAAAGCAGATAAAAAGGAGAGAAGTTCACTTAGTCTTTGCATTGTATGTCTGTGTGTGCCACACTAAGCATGGGCAACAGAAAGAGGAGAAGAGAACTGTCTGAGGACTTGAGAACCAAAATTGTGGAAAAATATCAACAATCTCAGGGTTACAAGTCCATCTCCAGGGATCTAGATTTGCCTACAGTGTG